CATTGCGCTGAGGATTTGTGCTTTCTAAGGTAAGGAGAAACACAAAGTTGGACTCACCACTTTGCGTACGTGGTTCGATGGAGTCAAACAGGCGATGGGACAGGCAGTAGCCCCAAAGTCCGCACCACGGACAACATCTACAAGGTGGAGATCCCGGTGGCCCCGCAAGTTTGGCGGCGCGAAAGACGCGGCCGCGGTGGCGCTGACCGCTGGGCACTTCCCAGCGGGAACTTCTGTGCGAGTCGGTGACTCGTGCGGGTAGCGATGATGGTGGCGATGGTGAGGCAGACGACGGCAAGGCCAACGACGGCGCCGATGCTGATCACGCCCGCGGATGACAATGACGATGTCTTCGCGTCGGTGACGAAAGTTCTGGAATAAATTCGACATGCCTGCGCGGCCGAAGCGCGCGAGTGGCCCGCACGGTATTATTTGCCAGGACTCGTGCCCCATCCCCTGCACGCGCTCAAGGGCGTCGTTTTTGAAGAATTCGAAAGAGCTTGCGCGCATGTTTTTTTTTATATCTGATAACGGATGTTGCAAACCAATGTGGGTTGCTCTGTGTTTCCGGGACACTCGATGTTGAAATCTCTACGACGCCCAAAGTTGTTGAAGGATACGGGCATGCGCGCGCGACGAAACGCGCGCGTGCAATTCGCGAGATTGTTTACAAGGGGCTCTTGCGACAGCACGCGCGCAAGGGCGTTCGAGCGAATTTGATGGCAACAATGAGGAACTGATGGTCTTCTGAAGACATCGCAAGAGCGCGAACGCAGTTCTTTAACAACAAATGCTGCCAAACTATTTGCTTTACGCGTCTATATGTGTGTATACATATACATATATACATATCTATATAGGTTCGGGGCACTCGATTTCGAAATCCTCACGGAACCGGAAATCCTTTGAAGGATTCCGGCATGCGCGCGCGACGACGCGCGCGTGTGCACTTCGTGTCATGTCCTGCCAGGGGTCCTTGAAAGCTGACCATCTTGATAAACATGTGCTCGCGAATAGCACCTATAATGTTCTAGAAAGGAGAAGATGTGTTGTGCAATCTACGCAGTGCAAGTCATTTATGTCCGCAGAGAGCTGTCCACTCCACTGCTCGCGAAAGAATCCCGCCCACCCACCCGGAACTTGGTTTGCAAATCCCATGTGGCGGCGATTGCGATGAGTGCTTGGGTTTGGCCCGCGCATCTCTGCGGCCGCGCTGGCCCGCGTATGCTCGCGCGCGCAGCGGCCAGATAGTTTGGCGCTACCGATGCGGCCGCGGTGGCGCTGACCGCTGGACACTTGCCAACGGGCAGTTCATTGCGAGTCGCCGACTTGGGCACGCGCGGTAGCATCGCAACGCCGACAGGGTAGACGCGATGATGATGGTAGCGATGCTGGTGACGATGATGGCAACGACGACGGCAAGGCCAGTGACGGCGCCGATGCTGATCACGCCGAGGACGATGATAGCACGTTCGCGTCGGTGGTGCAGGTTTGGAAGGGAATTCGACATGCGCGCGCGGCCGACGCGCGAGTGGTCTGCATGGTATTATTTGGCACGCATCGTTCCCCCCCAGCATGCGCGCAAGGTCGTTCGAATGATTTCGACGTGCGGCGCGAGGGGCCCGTTGAGCCGACTGCAATGAACAGGTTGAAAGGCCGACGATTGCCGTAAGAACTCGCAGGAGCGCGGGGGCAGGCGTTTTTGGAAAACTGATATTGCAATACCATAGGTTGTTGTATGTTTCAAGGACACTCGATTTTGAATTCCTAACGAAGACAAGAACTGTTGAAGGATTGCCGCGTGCGCGCGCGACGACGCGCGCGTGCGCACTTCGTCCCATCTGTTCCAAGGGATTATTGCGTCAGCATGCGCGTAATGGCGTTCGAGCAATTCCGACATGCGTGCGCGAGAGGCCCGCTTAGGAGCAAGTTCAAAGCATCTTGAATAATCGATTGCTCTGAAAAAATCGCAATCGCCCGATCGCGAGCTTGTTGGCAATTCTTGTTGCGAAGCCATTCGTGTTTGAAATGTTTTCGGGGCACTCGAGTCGGAAATCCTTATGTCACAAAAGGTGTTCCAATGATTTCGGCATGCATGCGAGCGACGACGCGCGCGTGCGCACTTCGTCCCATCTGTTGCAAAAAGGCTCTTGAAAAACGAATGCGCGCGCATAGTCGTCTTTTACAGAAGACGAAGGGGGGCCGTTACCGGTTTGGCTGGCATGGTACGAGTTCGTTCTTAGGATGGACGGTGGGGCAGGGCCATGCGCGATTTGCGATAGGAAAACATGAACGTAACATCTGAAAAGGGGGGTGGATCCTAATGCTCTTTTAGGAAGGAGAAACAATGGGCGGCGACGGGGCGGCGACGGCGAACACGGACCCGCCAGACCGACTATCAGGCCCAGACGGCGGGCGGCGACGAGGCGGCGACGGAGACGGCGAGCACAGAGCCGCCAGACTGACAGCCAAGGCCTGTTCCATAGACCAGGGGTAAGAATCCCCAAGCGAGAGCACTGTTTGGAAAACGACGACTGCTAATCCCACAAGCCCTCTGGGCGTTGGTGGTTTAGCGATTTTGGCTTTCTCCCTTTCCACAACCCATCCTTCCCCTGCTCGGGGGAAGGGTTTACCACTGTTCCCTACTAATATACACCCCCTCCCCCAGGCGACCGTCAGCCAACCAGGAACACTGAGGACCCATTGGGGCTCCCCCAAAACAATCCTTGCCAACAAGACAATACGAAATACACTGTGCCTCCAAATCCAGAGCCTGCGCAACCAACTCGGTGCGCCCCTCATTCCATCCCTGTCAGAAAATAATTCAAAATACACCTCGGGGCAAAGTCTGGACTCATGTTAATGAGGACCGCGAGCAATGTGTATTCTTTTTGGAAATGGACGGCGGGGGTGTCATCATATTGCCAGCTGCACGCAGGGCTACCATCCCTGACAAAAAACAAGAAACAATACAACATGCACCTCGCGGGCAAATCTGGATCATGCGCGGCCACCCCGCGATCACTGCCAAGCGGTTGCGCAAGCGCACCTGACACACTCTGCACGTGCCCCGGACGTGGCGCACCTGGCGCGGCTGGAGTATGCGGTACACCTGGCGCACGCGGAGGCACGTGGCGCATCTGGCGCACCAGGCGTGCCTTGCACGCTCGGGCCCCAGGGGTGCCTGGCGCGCGTGTCGCGCCTGGCACGCGAGGCGCCCCTCGCCCCAGCGTCGCGCACATGGGCTCAGTTTTGCTCCCAGTAGCTGCCCATGCAAAGACGACCGCTGAACATGCTGAGGCTCAAGTGTTACTTATGTGTGTGTCGGGAGGGCGGGTGGGAGCGAGCTAGACAGCTTGCTATCTTCCCCCCCCCCCCTGGGCCTGGGAGGGGGGGGCGCGAGGCATTAGGGCGCCCAAGATGGCCCAAGACGGCTCCAAGACGGCCTCAGAGAGCCCAAGAAGGCCTCCAAGATGGTTCAAGACAGCTGACGATGGCTCACGATAGCCTCCCACATACATCGAAGACGCCCCAAAACGGCCCCACGATGGTTTCAGGTGCCCTCCGAGCCCTCCAAGGCCCGGCCAAACCAGCTCCAAATCCTAAGGAAACGCAGTTATCTGCGCGTTCTCGCCTTTCGATTCTGATGGGCCTCCGAGGCCCCAAGATGGCCCCAAGACGGCCCAAGAGAGTCCCAAGAGGGGCCTAAGGGGGCCCCAAGAGAGCCCCAAGGGCGCCCAAAAGCACCCCAAGAGCGCCCCAAGAAGGCCCCAAGAGGCAATTGTTGAACCCTCGAAGGAGGAGCTTGAATTGAGGAGCCCACTCCCTTTGAGCTACGGGGGCAAAGACGGCCCCAAGAGACCTCTCAGACCCGCCCAAAGGGCCCAAAGAGGGCCCCAAGATGGCCCCAAAAGAGCCCCAAGAGGTCCCCAAGAAGGCCCCGAGAGGACCTCAAGAGAGCCCCAATATGGCTCGAAGAGACCCTCGAGAACCTCTCACAACAACGCTTCAACTCGCCTGGCAAACTGTTTCTGAATGGGCGGGTGGGGATACTTTTTTCGGTCGCGTCCGCCAGCGAGAGCGCAAGCGGAGTCAGAAGCGTTCCGGGACACGGTAACGGCCTAATTAGCTACTAAACGCGCCGCAGGCCGGCCGGCCCACTCACCAAGCAGCCGCGGAGACTGCGCGGGAACGCTGGCAGGCTGAGGGCGTCCAGGGAAGCTCAGGCACATGCAGCCTAGCAAAATGCCAGGGAATTAGGAATGTGCCGTGAGGCATAACCCACTCAGACGGCGCGAGGGCGAGTGCGCCGATGTCTGCGCGTCCATCATGCCAGGTGGGCGCTCAGGCGGGGTGGACGATGGGCGAGTCGCCAGTGGGGCGCCAGGCCCAGGGCCGTCCCAACGGCGTGTGCGAGCAAGGTGGGCTGAGCTGCCGAAGAACGTCGCAAACCTGCCTGGTGGATGGGATGGGTCCAGGGGAGCGGCCGCGACTGAGAAGGCTGAACCACTCGGAGGCGACCACGGTGCTCCAAGGTCCACCATCCCGTGCACGGGGGGGAAGGCCCTAAGATCCCAAAGGGCCGGCCCCTCCATCAGCTGCTCAAAAGTCGCCGACTGATGCACTGCATGAGAGGCCGGTGGGGATACGCGAAGCGTCAAGAATGACTAAATCTCGCCTCAATATCATTCTCCTCCTCTTCGAACCCCTCATGATCACAATCATCATGATTCCCACCACCATCATCATCATTATCATCGCCACCACCATCCTCCTCCTCCTCCACCTCCTCCTCCTCATCATGGTCTTTCCTCGGCGCACATCCTCCCCCGTCCCCCTCCCCCCCGCCCACTCCTCCCGATGACGACGACGACGACCACGAACACGACGACGACGACGTCGACGACGACGACGACGACGTCGTCGACGACGACGCCGTCGACGACGACGACGGCGGCGGCGGCGGCCGCCTGCGGCGGCGGCGGCAGCCACCGGCGAGCCTGCGGTCCGCGCCCGGCGGGCCTCTGGCCGCCGGGCGGGCGCGGTGGAGGGCATGGGGGGGCCCGGCCGCCGCCGGGCCGGCCGGCTTTTGAGCCGAGGCGCCCCCTGGCAGCACGGCGTCGGCGACGACAACGACCACGACGACGACCACGACCACGACGACGACGACGACGACCACGACGCCGCCGCCGACGATTCCGACGAGGACGAGGACGAGGACGAGGACGACGACAACGACTACGACGGACAGCGAAGACGACGTCGACGGAGCGCGACGACAGACGGCGACGGCAACGGCGACGGCGAGGGCGACAGCGACGACGACGACGACAACGGCGACGGATGACGACGGCGAGAGCATGGGGGGTAGGGCCGCCGCCAGGCCGGCTGGCTTTTGAGCCGAGGCCACCCTGGCAGCACTGCTGGACGACTCGGTGGTTCGTGCGATGGTGATTAATTGCAGGGGCCCAGGGACACATACACACACACAAATGCACACACATCCCAGGATTCCCAACCTTTTTCCACATGTCTCGGGTCTTCGTCTTCCCCCGCACTCCCCATCTTTCCCCATCTGTTACTGGGCATCGGCAATTACTTGTGTCTGTGTTTCCCCCCCCTCCTGATTACTCACTGCACCGACCTTGCAGACGTGCTGCAGCGGATTTTTGCGTGGACTTCCGTCAATGCAAAGCCCCGAAACGGCGAGCGAACAACGAAATAAACTTCGCGTGGGTCTGTCTTCGTTCTCATTCCTGGCCAAAAAGAAATAAATCCGCGCGAAATCCACTTCGAAATCCGGCACGAAATTCTCCAGGACACTCCGGGTCCATCCGATTGAAATCCAAACGAAATCCGCTCTGCGATGTTTGCGCCATGATTTATGTTGCTCCCATCGCACTGAAGGACCACATCCCAGAAATAATTTCGAATTCCCGAAAAAGTGTCGAACGAGTGTCGAAACAGTGTCGAACGAGTGTCTCCGAGGACCCGACACGTGAAAACCGTAGAGCTTTTGGGGTACTTTTCTGGTGCCCGAAATTCTTTCTGGTGATCAAGGCTAAAGTAGGTTGGAACACCTCAGGAACTCCAAATAAGGAGTGAGGCCCCTTTCTCCCATAAGTTGAACTTCGATTTCCCATGGGAAACCTCAGGAAAACCGAAGGCAAACTGCAGAACAATCAAGGAACACCCACCGAGCCCCTCCCCAACGAAAAGGGTTCCTTCTTCAGGGCCCCGGCTGTACGCAGGAACTCTGGTTTGCTGGCCCTTCTTGTCGGCGGTGGGCAAGCCTACCTCTAGTAAGCCACCCAACCACCCTTTAGTGCAAAAGGCCTGGGCCCGAAACCGACGGACCTGGACCCGCAAAAATGACGGCCGCGACGCCCTCTCGCGAACCGAAAACGGCCAATTCCCAAACGAAGGGTTCCTTCTGCAGGGCCCCGACTGTACTGCTGCCTGCCTGCGCAGGTGACAACCACCCGAGCACGCTTCTGCCGCGGGCCCGGCGAGCGCGCGGGCCGGGCGGGCGGCGGAGGGGGCACTGGACAGCGCACTGCGCACTGCAAGGGGGCAGGGCGGAGATGGGCGGGGCGGCCACGGAGGAGGAGGTGGA